CTTAATAGCATTTATAATATCTAATCATTTAAACAATATATATACTTTATTTAATATAGTATTAATAATGTCTCGAATCAGTTTAATAATGTTAATATTAATTTTAAATACATAATATTAATTTTAGTTTAACGTTTTATGGTTATAATGTTTATAATATCAATATACTTTAATAATGTTAATATAAACACCAGGCATGTGCAGGTACCCGAGCTTCGGGTCAGGTCAGGCTCCGAAAGTTCGAAAAGTTCGGGTACCTGAAAGTGAAGTCGAGTCGAGTCGAGTCGAGAACCCCGAAAAATTGTAATATTTATGTATCCGAATTTAATAAAAACGTCTTGGACAGTCTCATACAGACTTTCTAACAACAATAAATGCGATGTCTTTGAATGATTTTTTAACTGAATCTTCCATAGAAATTTTCCAATTTGCACAAGTCATTGTATTCTATATTTATTATAATGAAATATAAAATAAAGAAAGTCAAGCAACTCACGATAGAAAGTGTGAGTGTTGGTTTATTTTCAAAGTGGAATGTAAAAAACACAATTCCTTAGAGATGCGTTTTGAACCGATTCTAAAGAACGATATATACAGCTACACGATGTTGCTAGATCCAAGGTTTAATCTTCTAAGGATAGGGTATTTAAATGCCCCTTCGCTAGTAGACGGATTTAAATCGCCAGGCGAAGTTTAATTTTACATATTTTCATATAAATTATTGTAGTTCCTATATTTTCAAAGTTAATGAAATAAAGACTCAAGCTACTCAAAACAAAAAGAGAGAGACCGTCGATATATCGGATACTCGACTTTCTCAGATATCATATAGGTGTCGATATATCGGACGTTAGTACTTAGAAAGTTAAAGATCTTTTTTTATCAATAAGAAAAGAAAGATAAGGAAGCCAAACAAAAATTAAAGCAAAAGATTGTATGAAATATAAGTGGAAATAGTAACATCCAAGTCACGTTAACCACTCATAAGCGCGACGGTGTTACTTCAATATTACCTTCAAATAAATCAATAAACATTATTTAAAATTAATTAATGTGTAAAATTAGCAAACACTTTTCTTTATTTAAATTTGATTTATAAAACAACTAGAATCTAAATTAATAAAATTCTTTAATGAAACGTTGGAGAACGTGGCAGAGCAAGAACAATTGCCTTTTAATTCCTGCTTAGATGAAGAAATACATATTTATTTCTCCGAAAGGTCCTTTTCCAGACAAACTGATATTATAGATTGGTAGAAAACAAACTGTAAAAGATTTCCAATGCTGGCAACAGTAGCAAGACAGTATCTCGCTAGACAGTATTCTTGCGATAATATACAAGCAAGCAGCGAAAGATTATTTTCTAACGCTGGCAATATTGTCACAGCTACGAAATCTAAATTATTAACAGAAAAAGGAAGAATTGTGTTTTTTACATTCCAATTTAAAAATAAACCAACATTGACATTTTCTATTGTGAGTTGCTTGACTTTCTTTATTTTATATTTCATTGTAATAGATATAGAATACAATGACCTGTGCAAATTGGAAAATTTATATGGAAGATTCAGTTAAAAAATCATTCAGAAACATCGCATATTGTCGTTGAAAAGTCTGTACGATACTATCCAAGCAGTCTTTATTAAATTCGGATACATAAATATTACAATTTTTCGGGATTCCGACCCGACTCGACTTCACTTTCGGGTATCCAAATTTTGCAAACTTTCTCGACCCAACCCGAAATTTCGGGTACCTGCACACCCCTGATAAACACCAATCACAATTACAAAAACACATTAATTACATTATTTAATAATTAAGCTCAACATATGTACTTGCATACACATACAACGCAAGTACTTGGACTTATCAACATATATATATTTATACACATATCGAAGTATACTAGAACATATCAATATACTGCATGTATGTAATTCGTTACATTCTGTTACTTAGAATAATGTACACATTTGTCATTTTTTTTTTTTTTTTTTTTTCTACATTCGACCAAGATGAGTGAGACTTTTCATTTGGAAAATAGAAAGAAAAACACATTGTTTTGTTCAAAATTAATGATCAGCGTTGATCAGTTACCGACAATATCGTTTAAAAATTTTAGAAATTTGTAATTTGTACAAAATGTAAGAAGATTTGCAAATATTAATGCGAGCGGAGCAACATACACGGTCATATTTTCACTAGCATAAGGTATTATTCAAGAATCTAGAATATAAATATCGGTATTGTATAAAAGAGTAAGATATATTTCGTTTATTAACTGACGAGCAATTCTCAAAATCCAAATCAAAGTTGCTACAGTCAACTTAAGGTTCGCGAACATTCAAATATCCTGCAAAGATTCGTGAAAAATAAATATTCATTACTGTTCATCGACGATTAAATAGATAAACGAAAGGACAATCGATCTTGATTTGGCATCGGAATATTACCAAGTATCAGTTCTCTGAAAAACTCTTTTGCAGAGACGTCATTAGCAACACTGAAGGAATATTATAAGTTTCATTGAATACTTTTCCGCATGGCAAACATGTCGGATGTTTTTCAAGCATACTAATATAAAGCAATACACTTACGTAACATACTTCATTCTATATTTATAATTTCTAAATATATACATCTGTCATTTCTTTCTTTGCCATCGTCGAGCAAAACGAATGGCACGTTTCGTATGATGAATTTTTTTAAAAAACAAAAAACGGAAATTTTTCTCGAAAAAGCTGTTCTCGATAATCCACTCCTTACATTCGTATTAGAGTTTATTCTTTTATTTCATTAGAAAAATAATTAATTGAAATGGTTGAAATTTAGCGATAGATGTTGATAGATTACATAATAATTGTTTTAACCACCAAACATTAATCATAATAAGTGCTCGCGCCGATTTACGGGTAATATAAGTATACACATGTGTCGTACTACTGATTCTTTATATTCCTGAAATACGCATTAGCATCCTTGACAATTTAAAATACATAGAAGCCATTACTAAATTTCCATCTCAGATAAAACCTTAGATATCGAAATGCACTTTGAAGTAAATTGAAGTATAGTTTCATATTGCTAACATTGTCATTGAAAATTTATCACCGATTGGTCTTTTTCTAAAAGAAAAGTAATACCCCGTAATATTAATAATTTACGTTTCTGTACTATTTGAAATCAATTGAATTAAAGAACTAAAAAATGTTGAATGAATATCGCGGTAAATATATTAATAGGTAAAATAAAATATGTTAATTTATATTAAAACATATTAATAGTTTTCTATAGAAATACAGAGAGCCAAAGGAAAATTCTTCCAGCGATCGTCATTTATATTTGGGTGTACCATTGCAATTAACAATTGTTGTCCGAAATTTACTCAGGTAAACTTTTGATAAATATATTGTATGTGTTTTGATAAATTCTATGAAATGTAGTTTATTCAAAACTGCTCCAATTTTTTCGTAAAGCTGGAGAAAAAAATTCAATATTTTTATAATGTTAAATATATTTTTCATAATGTTCTATATTTCAGCATACAATTTTCTATCGTACTTATCAAGGTTTTCACATTTACATTTCATGTTTTCTTTATTATAAAAATTTATTTAATTTGTTTAATTTATTCATTTCCATTTACGCTATTTTATTAATTACTTTATTTAATGTGTTTTCTTTTTTTATCTTTCTTAATGTTGAAATTTTTAATTAAATCTTATTTTTACTTCTGAAATGTTTTTTCAATTTTGATTTAAATATTAAGTCTACTTTAATACTTTTTGAGGTTTCAATTTATCCTCAGATTTTTAAAACTTTATTTAATCATTTTTAATAAATTAATACTTTGATATTGTAAGATTTATTAACATAGTAATGAATTTTAGAATTACTGCTTGTGAAAAGTCAGGTACTGAAAATAACAAAAAATTTTAAGTAATTGAAACTTGTTTATTATTTAAATTGACATTAATCTCAAAGCGTAATGAAAATAAAAAATTAAATGTTTTGGTTATAAATTATAATTAGGAGTAATTAAAAAATTTTTTCGTTATCAGTAATTATTATTAATGAGGAGATTCTATTATTTTAGCACGTTTTATTATTTCATTGATATTTGATTTTTCACAAATTTTGTTCTTCCATCAAGCTTAGAAAAAATAAATCAGAGAATTGTACCGAGAGTGAAATATTTAATTTTAGACACGATGCTAGTGATTATTTATGTGTATGTATTATTTATATGTATCTATATACATGCTGTATCTACTTATATATAACTTTCTATACAATACACATCCATTAGCACGTGTACTAGCACTAGGCAACATACTTATGCAACAAACTTCATTGCATATTTATAACTCTGTGATCTAGACTTCATTACATAACTCGTATTTTCGAGTTTGAACTGTGACGCAAAATGAGCATTTGATTTGCATGTCATAAATTTATTTATTTTTCCATTAGTAAAAATATATGTGTGATGAATATTAGAAATGCAAAATATCGATCATTGTTTTTTACTTCAATACTTTATTTATTATTTGTGATTGAACGCTCTCAATCGATTCAATCGAGAGCAATGTTAATACAGGCTTCATCTTTTGTATTGCACAGGAATGCGTGCATTTACTTCCAAGAAATCACAACTCCTAAATCAAAATTCACTATATCGTTCTACTTTCTTTTATTATTAATTTCATTTTTTATTACTTTATTATCATTCACAATTGTCAGATGCCTACGTATTCCTCGTGAATCATACTATTTTCTTAAACAGACTCGTTTCAAACGGACTAGGAAACAATTAATTTTAGATTGTTTTACTCAGGATACAACGATCACGATAGGATTCTTAGAGCACATCACTCGCATCCATTTCTTTGAGTTTAAATAAACTTGGAAATTGTCTAAAAATTGAGAAACGATTCAACTCAACTATATTGATAACGTTTGGCCGGAAAAAATCGGAATATTTTACGTACAGAAACGTGAAACACTAAAACTTGCATTCTTCAATTTTTTCACTTGCTTTTTATTATTTCATTACAGATGGAATTTGAAAAAGGAAGAACCTGCGCTATGGATAAAACAAACACCGAAATCAATAAAAAATTGAATCAAACGAATTCCATCGAGGAATTTTACGCCTCCACTGTGATCCTACTGACCGGAGCAACGGGTTTCGTGGGGAAAGCTCTTTTGGAAAAACTGATGCGCGTGTGTCCACGCATCGTCGCCATTTTTATACTTTTGCGTTCGAAAAAAAACCAGACAGTAGAACAGCGATTTAAACAGCTTACAGATGATCCCGTTCGTAAATAATACTCTCGCTATTTAAACTTTTACTCTGTCAGAAGTTAAATTGATCAAACTTCATTATTATATAAATTTACGAATGAATGAACTATTTTCGTAAATTGACTGATTGTGTTATACTTATTCATCGTCGACAACCGTCAAGTGAATAATACTGCATGTAATACTGATTTTTTTCATATATGAAAAACGTATTAACATGCGTTTTTCCTCACTTGCTCTCAACTGAGAAGTAACATTACGTTGTTGACGATGTTTCAAAAAGATCAGTACTATGTTTTTTAGATCAGTACTATACTACATACATACACTTCTCTGTACTTTAAAATTTATATAGTTAATCAATATGGCTTCTGACCAGTATTCTTGTTTGTTACATTGTTGTAGGTTATAAAAAAGCTATAGTTACAAAAATCATCAATTTTCCATTAACATGGAACTTTTAGAGAGGAAAGCGGGAGGATTTCAAATATAAGTTTTAGATTTCTATTTTTTTCCGAGATTATGACTGCGGTACAATATAACATAATACATTGAATTCTGTCTATATACAGTCACTCCCACTCATATTCGTACACCATGTGGCGATTCACTATAAACGAAAAAAATCTTGTTTCTTATGAATTCTTTTTATTTACTTTTACCAAATGTTACTTCTGTTTACAAAGCAATTTTGTTTTTTATTTACAAACAGCAAACAAAAAACTGAAAGAACGTTCATTACGAAATGAACATATTTCTATTATAAAATACAGTAAATTAATATTTTGTCCTGTAAGCTTTGTGTTGAATAATCTCAAGTAATCTATGTGGCATGGATTGAACCAATTTTCGCGTAATGTCATTACTAATATTATCCCATTCTAGTAGTAATTTTGCTTTAAGTTGATTTACGTTAGTTATTTGATATTTATGAAGTCTCATTTTCAATTCTGATCATAAATTTTCAATTGGGTTTATGTCTGGACTTTGTGGGGATGTTTCCATGACTTGGGGACAATTATATAAGAGCCATTGCTTCGTTACGTAGGTTTTGTGTACAGGATCATTATCCTGATAAAAGATAAAATTATTTCCAAGTTCCAAACGGTCCGCGGAGGTATGTAAATTTTCTTTTAAAATGTTGATATATTTGTTTTTATCTATATTTCCATCAATTATTGCTAAATTTCCCATTCCATTTGGGGCAAAGCAACTCCACACCATAACGTGCCCGCCGCCATTTTTTGTTTGCTGTTTGTAAATAAAAAACAAAACTGCTTTGTAAACAGAAGTAACACAGTGTAATAAACAACATTTGGTAAAAATAAATAAAAAGAATTCAACAAGGTTTTTTCCGTTTATAGTAAATCGCTACATGGTGTACGAATATGAGTGGGAGTAAGTGTAGATGTTACTTTGTCAACTGTCTTCGTGTGTAATTGTCGTTGATATCCGAGTAGCCGATGATGGCCTAGTGTGTTTCGTCTACAATCAATTAAAGTTTTAGAACATTTTCTTTTTTCCAATTTCTTCCCATTTTCCGCTAAACTGTAAGAGCTGGGATTAAGTTTTTGTTGTATACAAATTAAGTTAATTCGTATACACGTTATAGTGTTCAACCAAGCTTATGTGGAGCCTCTTATAGCATCTTGTCTATGGATATTGAAACTGTTGCCCACCGATAATGACTGCTAGAGCGTTGACTGTTGTATTGGTCTACATGTACAGAATTCAATATATTATACTGAAAGTTTAATATTTTTTTAATATCTTAGAAACTAATAGAAATCCGAAAATAAAATTTTATGTTTGGAAATGTAAAAAATTCGAAAATAAGAAAATTGGCTGAATATAAACCATTATATAGTACAGTTTCTAAAATTTCTTCCTTTTTCAGGTTTTCGAATTCATCAAAGCAAAGCACGGCTCTTCAATTTTTAATAAACTTCATCCTGTACAGGGTGACGCGAATTTGCCAGATTTAGGTCTTTCTTTAGAAGACAGAATTATGTTGACAGAAAAAGTGAACATAGTATTCCATGTGGCAGCCACTGTATCTTTTAACCAATCGTTGGCTGATGCTGTTAATACAAATGCGAAAGGTACCAGTCGAGTCATCGACCTGTGCAAGGAATTAAAGAATATAATCTGCTTCATCCACGTCAGCACAGCTTATAGTAATGCTCATTTACCAGAAATCGAAGAAAAAGTTTACACGTAAGATTAAATTACACAAAAGTTTTTCTTCAAATACTTCATTATTGCGTAAAAATATATAACTTACAATAAGTACGGAATACAGTGCGACAAGTAAGTTTACTTATTGTTAATTTCGCAGCACAAGTTGGAAACCTTCTACGGTAATCGACATTTTGGATAAACAAGATAAAAACTCAATCGCACTATTAGAAGAATCAATCTTGAAAATTCATCCAAACACGTATACATTCACGAAGAATTTAGCAGAGCAGATTGTGTTCAATGATTGTAAAAGTTTTCCAACAGCAATAGTACGACCAAGTATAATTGGTGCCTCTTTGGAAGAACCGTGTCCTGGTTGGGTGGATAATATTCAGGGACTTACAAGTATTCCTACAAAAAATTATTAATATGCTTTAATATAAATTAATAAATTTTATTATCTAGTATCTACTTTATCATGATAATCATTCAAATCTCATTATTTCTTTAATTATATTTCAAATAATATCAATTATTTACGTTACAGAATTTTCTCTAACTTCTTCTTTACAAAGAAATCAATAAAAACAATTGTTGTTTTAAGAATTACTTTTTGTATGTTTTAATATATTAATTACTAGCAGTGTTTAGAAAGTATTCAAGCGTAGTATATAAATTCGTTTAACAGTAGTGATATGATGAAAGTTAGGATTACCAATTTCTTGCAACTAGTGGTCATAATGATTATTACTTCTAGTTCCTTGCTGGTACAGGAGAGTTAATCGTATAATTACAATTATTCCTTCTGTATCTTTACCGTCAATATATTTCCAAAATATTTTAAGAATTGAGAGTAATGATTTTCTAAGCCAATTTAATGTTACAGATTTGGGTCTACAAATTGCTAAAGGTAATGTAAACGTGATAATTGCTAAAAAAGACGCAAGATTGGATTTAATACCTGTAGATTACGTCGCCGACACGATATTGTGTGCCGCGTGGCATATTGCCATACATCGAGATAGTGAAGTTAAAGTGTATAACTGTACGAGTAACGCAGATCCTATTAGGTAATATTTATTCATCAACTTTTGGAGTGTCACAAAAATTTAGAATTCATTCGGAGCACATAAATCAAAAGCACGTCATTGTAATGATGATGACAGAAGGAAAATTTAGGCACTGAGCGTATTTTATCCGAATATAGGCTTATACACTTGATTTATTCTAAGATACTCTATTAACTATAGAAAATATTTTTTCCTTCCCGAAACCTGCTACATACTTTGTGTTTATATTCACATTAGTTTTCTAGTTACAAAAATAGAAAAATAATTAAAATTAATTTCTGGGATATATCAATAGAAATATTCTCTATTTTAAACATAATTCTAACAATTGTACAAGCATAAATATTTTATTTTCTAAGCTGGGATCACCTGAATAATATTTTCCTGGAATGTAGCGTAGAAACGCCGTGTAACGATATAACATGGTATCCGTATTGCAAACTAGTAGAGAGCAAATTTGTTTACAGTATTTTGAATATATTTTTGCATGTTTTGCCTGCACTTGTTATGGATATTGTTTTAAAACTTCGGGGCAAGAAACCAGTGTAAGTACTCTATTGTTTGTTGAACAATATGTAATTGCACGTTAGGACAACAATATTTAAAAATGGCATTTCAGAATGATGAAAATTAACAAACGTTTCAATCAGTTGCTTACATTTTTAATATTCTTCCATACGCACGAATGGACTTTTCATAGAGATAATGTTTATAAGATGGCAGAGGATATAAAGGTGTTGAAAGACAGCAATAAAATGAAATTGGATGTACGAAATATTAATTTAAAAGAGTATATTACAAATTACCAAGCGGGAGTTGTAAAATACATTTTGAAGGAAAAACCTGATCCTATAAAGGCAGCACGACGGTTATCACTGTATGTATAGAAATATCTTGGTAAAAAAACATAATTATAATATTAATATTTTTGTACATTTGAGTAATGATATTTTTGTTTATTTCAGATTCTATTGGATACATGAGATAACTCGAATATCCGGTATAGTCGTTCTTTTAGCTATAATATCATATATTATATATTGACTATTTAAGCGATATTTTTTCTATTTAAATTTGCACAAAATAATTTAATTTAAACAAAATAAATAACATTTTACAAACAGATTCATCAACTTAACTTGATATAACCTGCTTAGTTTCCTTCAAATGTTCAATTTTTATATGCCACAACTAATACGTATAATTACTTAAATCGAAGTTTGTGACAACGTTCACATGAATGTATATATTGTCTTAGTATATTAAGGAACGAGTCGCAGTCACTAGAGAATAATTTATTGGATTGAAAATAATGATACTTCATCAGTAGGAGAATATAAATATAACAAGAATGTGAAATATAAAATAAGAATATAAAAAAATTTAACGATTTTCAGCAGGGATTTATGGAAATTGAGACGAAAAATTTATTACATATTTGATTATTTACATCTGTTTAAAAATATTACAAAAAATTGATTAAAATGTATTTTTATTTTATTTTATATAGAGGATTGGACGTATCAAATAAATATTTCCATAAATATTGTTACTTTTTATCCCTAGTTAGTTTCGTTTGAAACACGCGCGTATTGGGTTAAATTAGTTAAGCGTCTTAACAGTGAAATACACAATATGTACACCTCCTACGATTCTCGAACATAATCGATATTTCTCACGACTGATTTTTAGATCGGAAAGAAGCACATTTCATCTGTAAAAGAAGAAGTGTTATCCAGAAAAATCATCCAGAAAGAAGCGTCACCTAGACGCAACAATACTTGTTAGATTTGTGTTTGTGTTATGAATTTTCAAGATAAAACGTGCACTTGGGCTTCAACTAAAATTAAAATTTAATCAAATAATTATTATATGTAATTTTCAACAACTAAAGAAATAACAGAACATAAACATTTAAACAGAACATACTATGCTATGTCACTTATAATTTCATACTAAATTCATATATAATTTTATATCAAATTTAATTTCAATTCTAATCAGTACAAATATTGTAACCTTGTAATTGATTAACTCATTGTTACACACACACACACACACACATACACACATCTATTATAACATTTGTTATCTACTTATTTGTTATTTCTTTAACTTCATACAGCGTAATTCTTAACAATTCTAATACTAAATTCAACAATAATTTATTAAGAATGTAAGTATTTAATAGTTAAATTGATAAGTTTACTGCGTAATATAATAAAATTTTTCATTTCTCAAATAAAGTAAGCGTGGAAGACTTTGAAGCTCGAAATTCAAAACAGCAACACAAACACAATGTTTATGTTCGCCTTAATTGTCATGCCTTTAGATAGATTCACTCCATTGGGTTCGCCCTACTATTTTCTCAATTGCTTGATGAGACGTATCGCGGAGAGTCCATTCAGCAGTCAAATTTCACAATGATCGCATGAAGGGTTTGAAAAATTCATTTAAAAAAAATTTTAATTATGAAAAATCATAATTATAAAAAATAATTGTAATAAAAAATAAAAATTTTAATTCATAAAGGTTCACACATGATACTGGAAAAAATCCATTAATTATATTTTCAAATAAAATAATAAAAAGTTAAAAAATCATGTATTTGTAAAAGTTATTTTTGTTTTATATTATTCAGTCTTTCAGACCATCTTGTATTTCAGTGGCCACTCTATATATTATAAATGGCGTTTCTTCGATGACGTCGCTTCTTCGATACTCTTTTACTGTCATTTATACCTCATTGGTAGTATAATTTAATTAATACGCGTGTGTTTGACGAATCATTGAACATTACTATAACGAAATCATGTAGTAATTTAAAACTTTTCACTCGCAGTTGCCGACAGATAATCTCGTATGTCTTTTTAATTAAATTTGAAGTTCTTTATCTTATCATTTTTACATATTTGTCGTCATTTGATATATTTGTTCCATCTTTTGATTTCTTTTTGTGTAGGTTATTGATGAACTTGATGATACAATCTGATGAACTTACACGCAAATTTGGCAATATTTTAATCATTTTTGGGTAACATTTGGTATAGAATTCATATATATTTGAGATACAATTCACAATACGAAATTTGGAATACAGAAATGAAAATAGAAAAAATTAAATCAATTAATATTTTATTTGGATGTAAACTTAGCTTATACATATACCGTCAAATGGATGTATATTCTTGTATTAGATTATCAAATTCAAAGTTTTCATATTTTATTATACTATACTGTGTACTTTATTATACTATACTTGCTTTTCTTGAATGCAGACGCGCAATTGAAACGCAATTCAAAGCAAGATTTCACATACATTTTTAGTAGTATTGTTTTTTAAATGTATTTAGGTATAAAATTTTGATTTGTTCAAATATTTTCGAATATTTATATATTGTACATGATATAGTATACATATTGTACATGATGTGATATATTACTAACGTGCACTGCATACTGCCTATTCTAATAAGAAACATTCAGAATACAATAATCATCTTTCATTTACAGTATTCAATATTGAGAAATACTTTATAATTTACAACTTATATCTTTAATATATATTCAAATTTCTTTTTCTTAGAACAATCATGCTCTAGAAAAATAGCAGTATTTTCTAAATAAACCTATTCTATTAATCAGCTTTATTTTCAGAAAATTTTTGTGACCGCGCGCATTGCGGTCGGTAGATTCAGTGTTTGTTGCGCAATGTTTCAATATTTTTCTGAGCGAAATGGCTCTTATTAAATTGATTCATTTAAACTATAATTCATGAAATTAAAGTCAGTGAGTCCGCCGATTATTACTTAATCGCGCGCGTTGGTAGTCTCTTATTTTTCTTTTTTTCTCATATTTTCTCTTGTTCAATATTCGTTTTCAGTATTTAAGTCAGTGTTCAAGAGGAGAAAGCCTCTCCAGGAGTTCAAGATCGTAAATAGTTTTATATATTATACTTCAATTTAATCAATTTTTCAAATTTAACAACAAAGTATAATATTTGACGTTTTATTACAGATGCTTCACAGCATCAATTTTATTGTACTTTTTGGAGAATATCCAACAGTGGTTTTAAAGGCAGGAATGTAAGAATCTTTCATTATCTCCAATTTAAGATTTTACTTTGCTTTTAAATACAAATTCTAATGTTTTGTACTGATTCTCTATAGTTTCTAATTCCCTGTATCCTCTAAGAATCTTACGATGCTTCAAAAGCTAAGAATATACATAAGTACTTTAGCACATTGTACTAGAATTAATTCTATTTTCTATAATTCTCTTTTCATTGAAGTTGTAATGTAAAATTATAACTGTAAAATTTCAAATTATTAGTTTTAATTATTAATTTTTATTATTATGAAAATTTAAATTTTCACAAATAAAACTATGCCTTTATGTCTTTAGAAGTTTTTCATAGCGTGCACTTCCACTATGAGATCAGTAATATCTGCTTGGTGAGGATCTTCACGATGACTTTCCTTCGTCCAGAGCAACATTGACGATAACGTTCTGTGTATTGCGTAAGTCGCATTTATTTTTATCCGGTTATTCAATCATGTCATAAGATAAAAAGGCCTAAATCAGCATGATTGTATGTATACGTACAATTTTTGATGAGCATAGTGACCACAAGTATCTTTTATATCTTTGAGTAGTAATATTTTTTTTAAGCTATTTAAGCTTTTTTAAGCTTTAAGATTTTTTTTATATATTATATATTAATACATATATTATACAATTATTATTACACATATTAACAATTAGAATATATATATTTATAGTAACTATTTATAAAATCAAAATATCTTCAATTTAAATGTTCGTAAAAGTAAAATATCCATATGAATAGATAAATTATAAATATTTATAAATAATTCGTTATTAAAATGATTTTGTTTGAGCATTTCATAGTAGAGAAGACGAATACCCTTTGACTTCATTGCTACATATGCAGTTATTACTTATTGGTACCTGTGATATATTTTGTTTTAATAATTAATAATTTTCAATTTCATTTTCCTTTTTATAACAATATTAAATAATTTAATTAATTGAATTTTATAATTATGAACTTTAGTAGAATTTGAAATATAATACATTAGAATTTTTTTCGTAAAAAGATGTATGAAATTTTATGTGCAAGAAGATACTTCGCGACATGCAGATTTTTTAATCAAAGCAACTAGTTTGAACACTGCTTTCGCATTTCAAAAATGTACTTTAATGAAGAAGTTGACTGAGATTGTTTCTGTTAATATTTAATTTGTCTGATTTTGATTGTTTGTGTCAATTATTAGAATATTCATAATATTCTTTTTAACAAATTAGTCTTGTTCATTGTCTTTATTCTCTTGCAATTTCAATAATTTCTGAATAAATATAAATGAATAAATAACTATAATTAAGAAATGAATAAAAATTTAGGTAAATATTACCAAAGAGTATTTAATATTTATAAATTATTTTATAAATTATTCAAAATAATAATTATATATTTATAATAACAACATATTTATAAATTATTCAAATTTTTAAATATTTATTGAATATTAGGAATCCTTTTTAATTCATTATCTCTTGCTGTTAGGTGAAAAAAATATATATAACATATATAAATAAATAAATAAATAAATATATATATATATATTGAAAGAAATGATACATATAAATATTTCATAAATAAATGATCTACAAATTAGTAATGCAATAAATACTATCTTGAAAAAAACTTCGATATATTTAAAACACGTTATATGCATAGAGAATCAAAGAGAATTTAATATATAAAATTGAGATTAGTGAAAAGAATTATTCATATTGTAAAACACGTATCACTATGTGCAATTGAATTTTGGCTGATTTTTCATGGATAATTCATTGATGCAATATAATGCAAATGCTTTCAAAGCTTTTCAACAGCCTAATTACATGAAGCAGGAGACAATTTGAGGAGGTCTTCTAGTGTGAAATTTAAAAAAAATCGATTTTTTTTTTACATATTCTTAAAGGATATAGTTTCAAAAATGCATCTCTGAAATCTTATATGTGAATTCCTAAATAACGAAGTTATGGGTGTTTGAAGGACGCGACGACCAGTGTCTTATTATCGCAATATTAAACTTTAATGGCATTTTTCTATGTTTTTCAGAACGGTGGCCATGATATCTCAACATCTACTTAACTAATTGAATCAAAATTTTATGTACGCATTTAATATATGTGTGACTACAGCCCGAACTAGAATCAACCAAAAATTTTTATTTTTTATATTTTTTTAGGCCTGCAAAGTATGACAAAAACACGCAAAAATCGATAATCGAAATTTAAAATACCGCCAATTTTTTAATTACAGACATTTTTCTATAGTTCTAGTTCCGGCTATAGCGAGATCTATATTAATTAAGACTAACTATCACGTTTGTTTATTTCAGACAAGTAGAATGGCCGGAATCGTGGACACCGTCAGGCGCCATTTTTTAAAAACGACTATGTTTGAGAGTATGCAGTGCCACTGATTTTAACTTTTTTTGTTTCAACAAAATTTTAAAACGTCGTTGAAATACGTGCAAATAAACCTTGTCAATTTGATTGCAAAAGGTATTGTTCGCGCGCGTGTCGAGCGGTACGAGATCTGAGAATGTTTTGCGTTGTGGACTGTATATCTTTGACGCGCGCTTGTATATTAGGATTTTTTCCCTCGGTGTTAATTGTAAATATCGCGAGAGAACTATGCAGCTTGGACGTCGGACCAATTCTGCTTCGTAAGCCGAAAGAAAGCAGGGAAGCTCTCTCGGTTCCCTCTCCATCGACTTCTGGAAATCGCGGGCCCAAGATGGGGCACAAAGGGCGGATGGCCTGTCTCCAGTGTTTTCGCACATGTTCGGGAAAGCTGATTCCATACTTCAGTCCACAGTCGAGGGCTTCGTCTGATGTAAAACAAAGCTCAGCCAGAAGGGCAAGAGGCAATAGCTTATGGGCCTGCTAGGGACTCAGGTCATTCAAAATACATAAACTTTCTCCGGCGAACATGCCCAGACCGTGAACATTGTAGGAAACTCTCCCGAACAGTATAACAGTATAATAGTTTCTTTGCAAAAAATTCTCAAAAAAGTGCTAAAAATCACTTCACACTAGAAGACGCCCTTAAGCAGGAACAGACAAAAACGAAAAGTACAAAATTAAAAAATGATTTAATACATATCATGTGAACTGTCACAGCGACATGAAGTCTCAAATGCGAACGTAATTTTAATTAAATTCAATAATTATTAATGCATTACGGGTATAAATGCTCTTTTGAATTGTATAAATGTTTTAAAGTTCTTAATAAAGGTATATGGTGACCGAATTTCGAATTCCATTGTTAAGTACATCGTATACTGTGCTCGGCAATAATAGAATTTTATTCTACTAAATAGCAGGATATTTTGCTAATATTTATCGGTATTAAAAGAACAAACTTTAAAGATCTAAGAAAGAAATTTTATTTTGTCAAAAAACCAAAAGAAAATATTGAGATAAAAATGAGGAGTCGCTTGTTTGAACCGCGCGTGTACGTATATACGAATCTTTAAAAGTTTTTTTCGTTATGCGTGAAATTTTTAAAACATTGCGAATATGTTAACTATATGTTAATTATTATATTATTCTTATTGCTATTATAACCATTGTTATTATTATTATTGCGCAGAATCTTCGAAACATAATTATATATAAATCTTTTCCTTTTGTACTTTAGATGAAATGTATATTTTAATAAAATGTTCGAAGTATAAATTTTTTAAATTTTGTCTTTATATTGCATCCAATTCGACAAACTTCCCTAATTCTTTTTATAATGTAAGCGAATGTTAGCCACGCCAGCCGTTCCTAGGCGTGGGAAGACTTCTTTGCCTACTCGGTAGAAGAGGTTAAGGACCAGGTGACGGTCCCAAAGTTTATAACGGATGCCCGTAAGGTCCCAAAGTTTATGACGGATACCCGTAAGGTCCCAAGGTTTATGACAGATGGCCGTAAACCAGAACTAGGGTACCCGGACGAAGGTCAGAACGAAGGAGTGCACGGAGAAGCAGTCCGTCAGCAGAACGTCATCTAAGTCGAACGTCGGAGTCGGTCTAGCGCGAAAATATACACTTTGTCCTCAACAAGAAACGATTTGTAGAATCTTTGCTTACAATAATATGCATGTTTTTTTTTTCAATTAAAGTTTATGAAATTATATATAATATAGACAGCTGCATAGGTATGTTCATATACCTCGTCTGTGACGCCATGACTTTACGCATACGCAGACGTAGGATCAAATTGGTGTGGTGGAGATAATGGCTCATTGGAAGGGGACAATGAGACTGACAATGTAGTTCGCTGGCCAGTCGTTAATTGACCACATCAGCGAAAAGTTTACTTTTCAAGTGCCATCTTGTTGAGTTTGTAATTTGTGTGATACTATATATATAGTACAATGAATAAATTTTTATTTCAGCTTTTTGTCCTAGAAATAGACCTCAGTACTTACATTATGTTTTCCCTTTTAATTTCCTTAGTTGTCAAGTGTTCTCTTATTTCTTTTCCCTTACATACTAGTATTGCATGCCAGACTTATACTATAAATAGACTAATTAGACTAATAGAAAATGATATATGTATAATGCCTTAACACTTAATATATTTCTCTTTGGTTCTGTATTTTACTCTAGTTGTGTCTCTATATTTGGTTTTCTGTTTCTTTTTCTCTCGTTTTCTTTTTCTATTTTTCTGAGTCAGACCACCGCTTCCTCGTCACCTTCTTCCGTTAGGATCCTTTCCATGTTGAGACCGGTTTCTCCTAATTCTCTGCATTGTCTCCAGTGTTCAAACATTCCTCCTCTTCACATAACAGACATTCTCTCCTGCTTTCTTTGCCTAAAACTTGTTGGCATTTTTGGTAGAACCACATCTCGTTCTAGCCAATATTCTCTGCCCTCTCTTTTTTTTTTGTTTTTTTAATTAGTCAGGATGTCTTGTCTGCAGTACCTTGGGCTTGGAGTGCCTTTTAACCTGCATGAAGATTGATATTATTAGTTTGTGGATATTTGTGTGGTTTGTTTGCATGATGACGCGAGGTTAGGCTTGCAGGAAAAGTTTCAAATAACCTGCAGTTTCCTTGATACAGAATCTGAAGGTTTTGGTTCGGGTTGTTCAATAGGTTATTGTTTTGTGTATGTTTAGGTAATTTGACCTTGACTTTGAGTGGTATGTTTTCGACTTGATAATTGCCTGTTTCTCTGATGAGAGGGTTTTAATGGTTGTTGTTGTAAGCTCCGGGTAGTGAGTTTTGAATATACTGCTTGATCGTGGGAATGTTGACTAATTGATGGAGCTGTGCTACGATTGTGTCCCTCTGTTTATTGAGAATAATTCTAAGGAATTTGTTTTGTATGATTTGTATTTTATATGTGCTTTGGCAACAGAGGCCCAGACTTGATATCCATAAGTAATTATTGGTCTTATGCATGTTAGGTACAGTAAGATTTTGATGTTTTCGAGTTTGCTATTTCGGGCTATGAGAGGATATATCCTGGATAGTGCTGGGTAGGCGAGAGTAGTTCTTTTTTCTATGGCTTTAGCCCATATGAGTTTATTGTCTACTGTTATTCCTAGGTAATTGGCCGTATTGGTCCATGGAATGGAGTGTTCATCAATCAGCACTTTAACTTGCAGGGGTCTGCGGGAGAAGGTGATGGCCTGAGTCTTTTTTAGGTTAATTTTTAGTCACCAGTTTTTCGTGTATTCAGGTATGGCGTTGATGTGGGTTTGTAAATACTTCATTGCCTGTATCGGGTTCCATGATGACGCGTATATGGCACTATCGTCTGCATATATAGCAGTTTGGGTGTTAGTGGTGGTGGGAATGTCGTTAATGTACAGAAAAGCGTTGGTCCGAGTGTGGAGCCCTGCGGTACTCCGGCCTTGATGGTGTGTGTCTCTGATTTGGTTCCTTGTACTGATACATAGAATTGTCTGTCTTGTAAGTAATTTTTGATGATGTTGGTGATTAGGGTGGGAGTTCTGATTTTTCGTAATTTGTACATGTCAGACCGTGTCGAACGCTTTCTCGAGGTCAAATAGTATCAGTTGTGTCATCCTATTTTTGTTTGGTTCTATCGTACTCCGTAAATCTTTGTAGTTGATTAATACATGAGTGCTTTTTACGGAATCCAAATTGCTGTGATATAATTATGTTGTTGTGGTGTGCGTTGTGGAGAGTGGAAGTATTACTGTTTTATTGTGGTAGTGGTCTGTGGGGAGGGCTGGTTAATCGGATTATTTGCAGTGTTGGATTGTGACTCGTTCTTGTGTGTTTCGGCGAAGTATGGGGCAAGGGCATTTGCTTTATCTAGATCCGTGTAGTGTGCGGAGTTATCTGCTGGTTCATTTAGCGGAGACATGGGGGCGGTTTTTCAGTCCTGTCATCTTATACGTCTGCCATAGTGTGTGATCTGGTTTCTCTATTTTTTCTAGGCGGTTTTACCAGATGTTATTTCGGGTGGTTTTGATTTTTTTTTGTATGAGTGTTGTTAAGATGTTTCTCTGTATGGTATTTTCTTCTGTATCTATGTTTGTTATTAGGGTTTGCAAATGTGGATCAGTATACCCTGTTTTGTCTGTGGTTTTAGTGAGTCGGGAGGCATTGTAGTGGGCGTGGTTTATGTTCTTCTGGAGCGTGTTAATCTGTTTGTCTATGTCCTCTTGACTGCTGATGTGTTGGTTTAGCAGATACGTGTTGCAAATTTTTCTGTATAGTTTCCAATCTGTGTTGTGTGTTTCGTTTTTTCTTCAAGTTTTGATTGGTGTGAATTGTTAGAATTACTGGGAGGTGAAATTCGAGGATAGGTCGTCTATTGTTTTGATGGAGTATTCTAGTTGTATGTTGGATAAGAAGATGTCTAGGTTTGCAGTTGGGCTGTCTGTATGTAGAGGTGGGAGTGAAGGATTTGATATTGGCCTGCGTGGTGATTTTTTAGAGCGACTCCATTGGTGTTCCTGGTAGAGTTATTCCAGACCTGGTGTTTAGCGTTGAAGTCGTCCTCAGTGATATATGTTACATGTTTATTTTGATGGGTAAGATCTGGTTTAGATCTTCTGCGATGATCCTGTGTCTGGGATATATACTGTATGTATACTGCGGTGATAACCAGGGGAGGTGTTGTTTTGGTTCTGGTTTTGGTTTTAATTGTTAGGGTTTCCACAAGAGAGGTTGTGATCTGGATGTAGTCCTCGGAGGGGATGTTTTTGTGAGTGGCTATCAGTACTCCTCCTCGCCGAGGCTCACCTGGAAATCCAGTCTTTTCTTCGTACATTGTATTGAAAGAAGTGGAGTTTGTCGATGGGTCAAGTCAAATTTTGGTGATAACAATGTCCATTTGTTGTTCATGGAGAAATCTTTGCAATTCGTGTTTCTTGTTTTGGATGTTAGCATTCCATAGCATGAGGTTAACTGTATGATTAGTAGCCAACCAATTCCTTGACAATAAGGATTGTAGCCCTAACTCCTTCGATGTTAGAGGTGCATTTGGTGTAGCTTTTGTATGAGTTCTAGGATTCTTAGAAAAGTGTCTAAATTAGAGTGTTTGACTTCATCGAGGGCTATTTTCTATGGGGTTGTTGAGTGTTTGTTCTTGTGGGGGTATTTGCCTCGTTAGTGCCTTGGCGTAGGAGTGTGTCTGTTTCGTGTGTCCGCGGAGTATTTATGGAGTTGGGAGTTTTTGATGCAGTTTTGGCGGTGTTAGGTAAGGAGGGATATGATTGCGGGGAAGATTGGTGGGGGGAATTGCTTGTTCTTGTAGGAGTTTTTTTCGGCCAAATAGGTTAGGAGTGCTGTGCATTTGGAGTAGTTTGCTGTATAGTTTCCTTGGCAGTTTGTGGAGGTTGGCGGGGCTTCTGGCTTTTTAGTGCATTCTTTAGTGTCGTGTGGGCCGGTGTACTTGACTGTATTCTTGTTGCAGTTAGTAGAGGAGTGTCCGTACGCCTGGCAGCGGTAACAGTGGATTGTGAGTTTCTTAGACTCATACTTCTCCCAGTAGACTTTTATATTCTCTCTGAATCGGACATGATTAACATTGGCTAGTGTAGTACCTAGTGCGAAGGTGACCCTGCAGACCGGATATTTGGTATGTGTTGGTAATTCTGTGCAGTTTAGTGCTTCGAGTTCTTGGGCTTTCAGGTTATTTATTATTATTTTATCGTTTAACTTAATAAGGACTACTATTAGGATTTTTTTAGAACTACTATTAGGATTTTTTCGGTGGAGATTGTGAAGGCGTGGAACTGAATATTTTGTTTTCGACATACTTCTTTGAAATCGTTAGGTTATGAAACATGATTTTAAGTTTTTACGAGACATATTTTATGTAGTATCTGTTGTTATAGCTGGTTTTTAGTGCTTCTAATAATTTGGTGTGATTAATGTTTCCATGTAAGTAGATATGCGAGGGCTTTATGTTGGTAGGTTTCTGGGGAATTTCCGGTTGTGTGTTAGGGCCTTCGTTTGTTTGTTCTGTGTTGGCTCGGTCGGTATCTTGTAATAGGTAGTCAGCGAATATAATTTTGTGTAGGGATGTTGGGTTTTGTTTCCACCTGGATTGAGTGTTGTTGGCCTTGAGTCGGAGTGAGATGTTAATCTCGATCTTCTACGTATGGTTATTGGTTGCAGGACATACTCTGTGGCTTTTCTCTTGACCCTAGGCGTCGGAGTTAATTGCCTCCGTCGTGTGGTTCGTGTTATCGCTCGTGTGGTGGTTCCGTGAGTGTAATATGGTTGTGTTGCCGCATTGGTCGTCTGGTTAGGATGCCGTGTGGAAATCGATGCTGCTTCTTCTACGGTTCATTCGAGACTGATATGTTGCTGAATGCCGTATGAATGAGAACTTAACTGGAACTCAACTCAACTGCTGAACTGATCCTGTATGAGCTCAATCCTCAACTCTGAACTCTGAGCAACTGTCTACTGAATTCGGAACAACTCGGAGCAACTCAGTTCTGAACTAATTCCAACTCCTCCGCTCTCCGTTCCTTCTCCTTTCTCTTAAATATTTTGGCAAAGTTCCGGGTGTCAAGTACTTATATCTTCTATTGTATCTGGTTTCCTTGATTCGAGTCCAGTGCATTTGTTTCTCCACCTATATTTCTTTATTTCTTAAAACTTCGCCTGCCGGTTTTCCTCCATAGTAAGTCTACGCCTTTCTGGCTGAAACCGCATTTTTTAAAATGGTCTAACCTGTCCTTGAGATTTTTCTTATTCTCTTTCCCTGTTTTTCTTTCGTTTAAACACTCCTTGACAATGCTTTCTTCTCTATTCCTCTCTATTTTTCCTTCATACTCTATCGCTCTCCTTGCCTGCATTACTTTCATTTTTGTCCTGTTCGCTTCCTCCAATATTATATCCCTTTGCACTCGAGGCCTTTTTCGCGCGAACCAGCAACTCGAGACAATTTCGGCTATATTAGGGAAACATTTTGCAGGTACTTTAAAATCATTTATACTCAAACAAACGTATACGAATAATAAAATTTCACCAATTTATTTATTTTTATATTGAATACAACAAAATCTGTTAAATATTATATTCTGTAATTAGTTTTCGTGTGATATTTAGTGAAACAATCTCCAAGATGCATCCTTGGTTTGTCTGGACACGTATCACAATAATATATTACTTCTCGTCTACCGCCAGGCTTGTTACGGTCAGAGCAAACCTTGTCCCTTTTTGGCCCTTTTAGTACTATATGAAGCTTCCCATTTAGTCGGAGTTCATCGGTTAGCGACGTCGACGCTTGTTCACGATGCTGGCGACGTGATCTTTTCAATTGCTCCACAAGTTTTTAGAAAGCGCAAATGATTGTGTGGCTTTTCCCCTTTTTTGTTTTTTTCTAGTTTATAAAGTATGTAGGAATTGATCAGGCAAATTTCCATGTCCCAAAATAAAGTTTACGCCACCATTTCAGCGATTTTTCGCAGAAAACAATATGTCGATGCATATTGATCCGCCCAATTAACACTACCCATATATTTTATATAATACAATATAATGGTGGGTTTCTTGATCATTATTTCCACACCACTTCGTGCCATCCTTTTGACAGTCTTCATTCCTGTGTCACCGCTTGTAGTCAAACAAGTGACGACCCTCTTATCCTTCCACCCTAAAAGTAAAGTGTTGCTACCGTGGATTTTTTTGAAAATTTTGGCTTTTTTATTTCCCTGGGCAATTCTTTCCTGTTCGTTAGGATCGTTCCGGTAATATGGCATTTCAGTTTGGCTAGTTCTTAGACATAACTAGTGTAATAGCGATCCGTGTACATATGGTGCCCCTGAGCACCTGGAAGACATAACTAGTGTAATAGCGATCCGTGTACATATGGTGCCCCTGAGCACCTGGAATTTTCTCCAACAACATTTTATATAGGTGTATCGGAATTCTTGAAGAAACAGGTAAATCAGGTCTGAGCTCGGTTGTGAGTGATCCATAATATGGTAAAATGCAACAAATGTAGCCAGTGTTTGAGTCAGCTAGAGTATAAACTCTGATACCCCATTTTGTCAGTTTCTACGTAATGAAAGAAATTCGGCTCTTGAATTTTACCGTCGACTCGTCCACACATATTTGCTCGCCTGGTATAAAATAATTTAAGAATTTTGAATTGATGTAGTCTAAAAAGCAACTTACTCGTTGTAGGCGTGTTCTCGGATTCGTATTGCGTGTTGGAATGGTTGTCAGATGAAGCATCCAGAATATTTGACTGAATCTATCTCTTATAAATGTTTCTGAATAGAAAGGGATATAACTGACGTTATTCCTCGACCAATATTCTTGCAAATTGGCCAACGGCCATATTGATTATAACAGCAATAAATGCCCAGAATTCTGCGTTCTCCACATCATGCCAACTTCGCCATATCAAATTTGCGGATAGCGTCTTCCTTTCCAATTTCTTCTTTGCATAGTTATTTGTTTCACAAATTATTTTTTCCACGAGTTCATCGGTGAAAAACAGTTTTAAAAAATCCATTGGTTCTTTCATATTGGAAACTATGCGTGATGCTATGGGTTTTGGTCAGGTATAAATTGTACACTTCTTCGTACTCTCTGCAAAGTACCCATTCCGAACTGCTTGCATCTTCCGCACTTTCGACATCACTTTCGCTATCTATAATTCTAATTTTTTCGTCGTCTCACACTCCTTACTTCCTCACTATCTTCTCTACTGGATTCGTTCGTTTCGTGGCGTAATCCGTCGGAAATCAATGTAATTTCCTCGTTCAAAGTCGCAAAATCGAATTCGTCTAAACTTGAGCTGATCTGATCTTGATCCATATTTTTAGGGCTCGAAAACTTTTGAACTGCTATACTCACTGCCAAGACTGTTTCAAGCGAATGCTATGCTGAGACTAACTAAACTAAGCTAAGATTTGGCTAAGAATGCAAGCCGAGCCTGGTCCACGAAAATATTTCAGATAAAAATATCTTATCGCACATCGTAAATAAACAGATCGAGTTCCAAAACGCCGTAGTGCTGGTACTATAGCGCATTTCGACTGGACGCATCAAACCTCCCGGACGCCGTAGCAGCGCCGCTCAAGTGGACGCTTCAAATCGGCCGGGCGCCGTAGCAGCGCCGCTCAAATGCAAAGGGATATAATCAGGTGTTCCTCTGTCTAGTCCTAGCGTCCATTTTATGTACTTTCTGTGTATCCTTTCGAGGTCTCCTATCTCTTTCCATCCCCAAACTTCTACACCATATACCATCAACCTGTGACCAGATTGTCAAAGATTTTCATCCTCTTTATGAAGTCGTCCTTGAATATTCTCTCCCCTATTCCTCAGGTGAGGTCACATTCGCCTTCTTTGCGAGATGTTTTACATACCCGCTGCTCTTACCGTTGCCTTTCAGCACATATCCTAGGTACATAAATTCTCTAACTTCTTCAATCGGCTTTCCTTTCCAGCTCCACTCTGTTTTCCTTCTCTTCCTCCCTCTTTTCTTAAACACCATTATCTTTGACTTTTTCTCGTTCAACTGCAGCTTCTTCCTGTCCAGATACATCTAATCTTCTCATTATTTCCTTCATTTCTTTTTCCTCGTACGCTAGTAAGTCGATGTCATCCACATAGGCTAGTGTTCAAAACTTCTTCCTGCCCACCTCCACACCACCCGATTGCCCCTTTCTCATCTCCTCTTCTATGTCCGCAATTAGGATTGTGAACAAGGTGGGACTCAGTGGGCACCCCTGCCTCACTCCTTCTTGTGTCCAAAATTCCTCCGATGTTTCGTCTTTAATTTTTACCTTGCTTTTGGTTTCCGTATAAATTTCCTGTGTCCTTTCGACTAGTCCTTTCAATATGTCCGCCTTCTTCATAGCTTCCCAAAATCTACTTCTTTCCACTCTGTCAAATGCTGCCTTTAAGTCTATGAAGAACGTGAATAATTTTCCTCTTTCCCCTTCTTTTGCCTTTTCTACTACATGCTGTAGTATATAAATATTGTCCATTTTTCTTTTTTCTTTTCTAAGGCCCGCTTCCGTGTCCGGTAATATCATTTTCTCTTCGACTTCAGTTTTGATTCTATCGTTCAGCACCATTGCATAAATCTTATACGCCATGCTGAGTAACGATATTCCCCTAACTTCCTGCCACATCTCTTTCTCCCTTTTTGTACAGTGAGGAGATTAGACTAGTCCTTCAGTCTTCCGGCGTTTTCTTCCCTTTGCAGACGTTTCTAATTAATTCGTATTTTTCCTTTTGTCTCCCCTTGCATATGTATTCATGCCTCGTTTTGGATGTTATCCTTTCCCGACGCTTTTCCTTTCTTCAACTTCTTTATTTGTTTTTCTATCTCCTTCCTTGATGTGTCCTGTGTCCTGTCGGGTGTCTCATCTTTGTTTCCTACTACCTTCTTCCACATGTTTTCTCTCTTTCTGTCTACCGTTTAGGAGTTCCATAAAGTACCTCCACCACTCCTTCAGTCCGATTGCTTCACTTATATAAAATAATATAAAATAAAGCTAAGACAGAAAATACCGATTGGTATCCTTTGTTTCTTCTCTTTATTAGTATATCTCCATATTTCTTTTTCTGTCTTAGCTTTTCTGATCTCCTCCAGTTTGCTTTTGGCCTTCTCCTTTTGCTTCCTCTCACATATTTTCCGGAACTCCATCCTTTCCCTCAGATATTTCTCTTTCACCTTCTTTTCCTCCTTCCATTTCTTGAGCAACTTTCTGACTTCCCTCTTCTTCCTGTCACAATTATCCCATCAGCTTTTGTTTTTCAATATCTCTCCTGCCTTTCTCTTTACTTTGGTCACTCTCTCTTTATTTCTTTCCATTTACTTTCCATGGAAGTTTCTTCGTATACTTTTTTTCTTGTCACCTCCTCATATCTCTTTATGCTTTTTTCGTTCCATTTTACCAACCATCTTGTTTCCTTTGTTAATCTTCTTCTTCTCCTTGGTATCTTGCATTCCAGGTTGCAGTACACCGACATATGGTCCGACTCTACTCTCTCTTTCACAATAAACTGTCTTACTTTATCCAATCCTTCAGTGTCTAATATTGTGTAATGTATCACTGACTGACCGTATAAACGTATATTCTCCCTTCTCATCTCCATCCACGTTTCCATTTAGAATATGCCAGCCATCATTTTCAACCACCTCCAGTAGAACCTTCCCTTCTCTGTCACATATCTTGTCTTTTGAGCTTCTTTTCTTATCTTCACCCTCGTAGATTCCTCCTTTCTTCCCAGTTCTTGCATTAAAGTCTCCTCCTAACAACATTTTTGTATTTCCCTCTTCTTCTTGTATTATTTCAATTTATTTTAGCAATTCTTTTAATTTTTCTTGATTATAAATTGTCCAAACAATCCATGTGTCATTCTTCAGTGTTATTTTCGTTCCTATTGCAGCTTTTACGTGGTATACTTCTTGACTTCCCCTAATTAGTTCTCTTCTCATCCCTACTAGTATTCCTCCACTTGCCCTTCCTTTTCTCTTTTCTTTCTGTCCCAGTTGGTACTCCCATCTATATCCTCCAGGTAATCTGCTCCTCCATTTATTTTACTTTTTTTCTTCCATCCATATACTTCCAGAAACCTGCTTCTTTTTTCTCCAAACCAGCCACGTTTCAGAATAGGACTCCGACTCCCTCTTTTTCCTCTTCCCTCAGTCAGTAGTTGTCCTTCTCAGTCACTTGTTCTAGGGTTTCTTTTCTTTCATTCCAAATATACCATTTCTTGTCTATTCCTATTTTCTTATATCCTACTGTAGTCTTTTTTTCCTTCTCTTCTCTTCTCACCTGATGGTTTCCTTAATTTCTCTTTCTTTTCGTGTTAGGTTATCATCTATGTATACTCCTGTTTTCAAATTTTTCTTCCTAGTCATTATTTGCTTTTTGCTCATTCACTCTTTTAATTTCACCACTACCATTTCTACTCCTTTATCCTTTCCATGATTCTTCAACTTCTACATCTAATTTCAAGTTTTCTTTTAGAAATTCTTTTACTGCACTTCTGCCTCTCCATTTTGCTCCTTTTATCACTTTATTATTTTTTCTACTTTCTCTCTCCCTCCTCTCCTCTCAATGCTCTATCTCCTTCATTCTTCTCTCCAGCTGCATTCTTTCCATTTTCCATTCTTCCCTCTCTTTCCTATCCTCCTTTCTTCCTCTGTCCCATTCTTCTCTCCATATTTTCTTTCTTCGCTCATTTCATTTTTCAGCTTCTTTATTTCTCTTAAAAATTCTTGGAACATTTTTTTCAATCCTCCTTCCAAATCCAATCATTCATTATTTCCTTCTTTACTGACTTTCTTTCATCTCCGCTCTCACTCGATGTCTCTCCTTTCTGTTTATCCTTAGACTGTACAAATTTCTCCATCGTCCCCTTATTCCCACGTGAGTCGCCCTTGTCACCATATTTTTCTACCTTTTTTTTCTAACCTCTTCTTTCTCCTCTTGACTATTCTCGCTTTCTTTATATCTGGCCCCCTGTTTTTATTTCCAATTCTCGTTCCCAACCCTTCTATATATAGTACAAAGAAATTGTTCATATTTTAAAATAAATATAGAAATAGTAAGTTATAAAAATTTGTTTTATAAAATGGCTATGTTTGAAGTATTACGAAAAGAGTACAGTGTAAGTAATTAATAATTTTGAGGTTATGTAGTGTATTTTAATCTGCCAGTTTTACTGATATTTCAATCTCCTTTTCTAGGATTATTTGCAACAGTGTTTTAAAGTGTCAGATGTACAAACCTTTCAAAAGAAATGTGCTGAACGATGTACAAGTGATAGTGATAGAAAAGCTGCAATTGATCAGGCACTGAGAGATACTCTTCTTGTAATTTTATCTGAAAATGCATTGAGTAATGTGAATCTATTTGAGACTTACATTACATTCTGCATTGAATTATGCAGAAAAGATTTAGCAACTGCAAATATGCCTGTAATGTTACTTGGTGATATATTTGATTCTATGACACTTGATAGATGTGAACAATTGTTTACTTTCATTGAAAACAATGTTGTGGTGTGGAAGGAAGATTTATTCTTTAGTGCTTGTAAGAATAATTTATTAAGGATGTGCAATGACTTACTTAGAAGATTGTCTAGGTCACAACAAACTGTATTTTGTGGAAGAATTCTATTATTTTTGGCCAAGTGTTTTCCTTTCTCTGAGATATCTGGTCTTAATATTGTTAGTGAATTCAATTTGGAAAATCATATAGAATTTGGCTCTGAAAAATCAGAAGGAGAGGATTTGGAGCAAATAATTAAGGATGATGATAAATCAGAAGCTAAAGTGCCAATCGATTATAATTTGTACAGAAAATTTTGGGCGCTTCAAGATTTCTTTAGAAATCCCAATCAGTTATACCTGAAAGTGCACTGGAAGGTATTTTCAACAGTAAGTATAAATTACTGTATTTTTTGTTATTATAAATATATAAATTTGCATATTTTTGTTATCGTAAATTAATTTCATATTTGTTTTGTTTGTTTAGTATGCTTCAAGTGTGTTGTCAGTATTTTCATCTTTTAAATTGGAAGAACAACATAATTATTCCTCAACGAGTGTTAAAATTGATTCTTCCATAAAAGGATCTCGTAAAGAAACTCCCTACTTTGCAAAATATTTGACGAATCAAAAATTATTGGAGTTACAATTATCTGACTCAAATTTCAGAAAATACGTATTGCTGCAGTTCCTCATTCTTTTCCAGTATCTTAATAGCACTGTTAAATTTAAAGCGTAAGTATCTATAATTTTATATACATCTTTACATACATTTGTATTTTATTAGAATTGAATTCACAATTCCTCTTGATAGATTGCACATTTTTAATGAAGTTTAATAAATTATTAGTAAAATGACTTTAAAAGCTAAATGTTTGTTTTCCGAAGCTTCCTTGCCAGTGGCTATGAGACAAGGTCTGCTTTCCTTAAATAGTGTTTCAGGCTATTTATATTCCAGAGTCTCAATAATTTTTGTATTTTTTAGTGAAACATATGAACTGAAACCTGATCAAGTAGACTGGGTAAAAGCAACCATGGAACAAGTATATGCCTTACTGACAGAAACACCTCCTAATGGTTCAATATTTACTGAAACTGTTAGAAATATATTGAAACGCGAAGAGCACTGGAATGCTTGGAAAAATGAAGGTTGTCCACCATTCAAAAGACCAACTCCAGATTCTAGTGTTGACATAGAAGAATTAAGGAAACCAAAGAAACCAAGGCGTAGAATTGGAGATGTTATTAAAGATGCTCAAACAGTAGGAAAATATCATATGGGAAAGTAAGTAACTATGGAAAAATTGTATTTATTTTTTGTATTGTTTTAATCATATTTATTTATTTTATTATTACATAATTGAATTTAATTAATTTACAGTCCGGAACTCGCGAAGTTGTGGAACTTGTGTCCTAATAACCTTGAAGCATGTAAATCCAAGAACAGAGATTTCCTTCCGTCTTTAGAAACATACTTTGAAGAAGCTATCATGCAACTAGATCCGAATGCAATGGTAGAAGATGAATATAAGTAAATATCTTTTTTATACATTTATGTTTTGTTCTCAAATTCAATAATTAAATTACATTATTTCTGCTTATTTTTTACAGAAAAGTAAATGATGGAAATTTCGGCTGGCGAGCATTAAGATTATTAGCTAGACGTAGTCCCCATTTTTTTGTTCACGGAAATTATCCTATTAATAAACTTCCTGAATATCTCGAAACTATGATTAAAAAAATTGCCAAGGATCGTCCAGTGAGTACAATACTTTTATTTCAGTAATCTATGTTAAATCTTTAAATTTAAAAATGAAGTATCCCTGTATCTTAAAGCAGACACAGTCGAATATAAAATTAGAAACGGAAAAGATTCCACCACCAGAAGTGAACGATCAAGAATTTAACAAAGATGTTCTAAAACAAGAAAGTGAACAAGTTGAAGTCGAAAATACGGATACAAAAGGACGAAAATTAACGAAAGTGACACCTGAAATGGTGGCGAAATTATCGGAAATTCTGAAAAACAATTGGAAGAAATTAGCAACCAAGTTCGGTTACACGAGTGAAGAGGTACAGATTAATTTTATAATATGTCTAAATCTAACTCAATGAAAAAAAAGGAAAGGTTACTAACTACAATCTTTATATTTTTTAGATTACGTTTTTCCAAGGAAAACCAACACCATACGAACAATGTAAAAATATGCTAGAAATTTGGGCGGAAGAAGATGTAGACGCATCCATGGAAAATTTAGTGTATATCTTAAAAGGTTTAAAATTGACAAAAGCGTTAGCTGTTTTAAAATCTTATTTTAATTGAAAGAAATATGAAATGGAATGTAAATAATTTTCAGATAATGTATACTATATGTTGTATATATAAAATAGATACATGTACTATATGTTGTATATATGAAATAAAATTTGTAATTTTTTTAACAATCTTTTTCTATGAATCTTAACTTCAATAGTAAATTATCCTCAATAGTACCTTATGTTTCAACAATAATAGCTGCTATTAAACAAAAATAACTAAAATATTAATTAAAAAATATATAAATATTGCACTTTTAACATTTAGAATAGAATAAAATATGAAGCCAAAGCTTTGCACGGTAAAAATCAGTATGATCCTACATGTATAAATATTTTATACTATTTTTTTTTTTTTTTTTTTAATAAGAAATGATTTTGCTAGTTTAAATATGGTGCGCTTATATTAGGGTGATCGAGTTTCAAGTATTATAACATCACGTGACGTCGATAAATCGAACTAGATTCGAGTCCATTAAATCCAGTTTCTTTATTTAGAGTACACTTAGTAGCACAAAGTGTACAAATAATTCAAAATTTGAAACCAAAATGGTCGTCGGTGCTAACTATGTTGAAGAATAGTTGGTTTTATTTTTATATTCTATATATTCTTCTTTCCGGCACGAAATCGATTTGCCAAAAAGCATGCTGACAACCTAACGGTATAGACCGACGTTCTTTCTACTTAATTGTAATAAATTAGTTTAACTAAAATTCGTAATATATCATATCTTCGAATTATAAACACTGACTTAGACTTGATTTATGCTCGATGTAAAGCAGAGGCCAATGACGATTAAGACAGCGACAACTCGCGGTATGACATATGCAACGTGTTTCTTTATGAACGAGAATTATACGTAAGTTATGAAATATCATTACATATACGCCAAGATAGATTTAGAAGCTTATTCCACAACTGTTCGCAACTGTTAATCCAATTTTTAAATAATCCATTTCGTCATATATAACATACTGTTATGAGTCTGTAGGTCTGTACTTGTATTCTTTATTGCACATTCATGCAGTTTACTATCGCAACAAACACGCTTGTCGCGAATTATACACAGAGCATAAATCCGGATTCCGGATACAAGAAATTCAATCGTCTTATTTACGGAATACTTTTATTTATTTATCTGCTTTAATTCTTACGTCTAACATACACACTCATATGTATTGGCTAAGTGGAAATGCAATTCGATCGCGAATACGAACTCCGACGTTTTACGTCGTAGGGCAGTCGTTAATTTACATTTTTTTTCTTCTTCTTCTTCGTATTCTTTTAGTTTTTACAATGAAACGTCATTATAAAAACTGAAATGAAAAGAACGTGTGAATTGTATAAATTTTTAAAGAACGATACTTCGTGAGAATTTTATTGTCATTCTGCTAGGTATTTAATTCTTCAATTGTAATTTAACATAAAGTACAAAGATGAATGTAATTGAAAAGACTCCCATATATGTGCTTTCATATATAACTTTGATAAACATGCCCGTGTCTTCTTCGTTTAAATCATAAACATAGAAAAATGCCACAATCAATGGACGTGCGAATTATTCGAAATTGTTTATCTTCTCATCGTTAAATGATCAAATCGTTATTTCGCCGCCGATTTAATATTTTCTAGCGGCACGGATGGCAAACAAAACGATCAAGGTATTCAACAAAATAGAATGGTCAACGAATTCTTAAGGCGACAGTGTTGTCACACTCTGCTCTGAAAATTATTTATTGAATTGAGCATAATACTTTATCAATGAGGGGATTTAAAACAGCGATTGATGGAAATATATTTGATTATTTACATCTATTTAAAGATATTTAAAAAAATTGATTGAAATATATTTTTAAACATAATTAAATACAACATAATTAAATATGAATTAAATATGGAAAATTTTTACAACATAATTAAATATGAATTAAATATGGAAAATTTTTACTTATTTTAGTATGTAACTTCAGAATCTCAATGAATCCTGCAAACTCGATTTTATAAAAGCCTGGAAGTATCAAAGAAATGTTTTCATAAATATTGTTTGTTATAAAATTATATGGCGTAAATTACTTTTTGCAGAAATTTTTTTTTTTTCATTCGTTTTGGAAATTTCAAAGTCATTTGTTAAGATGGAATCAATGACTTGCATACGAGGTTATCTGTTGTTATGAATTATTGTTTAAAGTTCAGCAAAATAGCGAAAATAAATCATAGCTAAGGAAAGATGTTGATCAATTTTCAAGATCACGATTGATCTGATTATGAAAAAAATTAATTCAGTGATGGAAAAATTTTTCTTCGACGAGATATTGGAATTTTTACAATTTTCGAAAAGGAAAGTACACTTACTTCTATACTTGTTGCATGATGTAAAAAAAAATATCTATAAATGAAACAAACTCAGGATTGTTAAAGTGAAGACTTCACTATCTAAAATCAAATCAAATTAATTGTTCTATAATTCTTTTCACGAAATTATAACAGTTTAAAATTTTGAGAACTTTTTATGTAGTGTATGAATGTTTCATTCTTTTTCGTTCAATTTTTCATGAATTTTGCGTATTTGATTTAGACCAGAGTTTTTTACTTTTTTTTTTTTTTTGCAGGTTATCATTTCGAAATTATTGTGAAACGCGCGATTACAGCGCCCCAACGGTGAAACACGCAATATACTTCCTACGATTCTCGAAATAATCGATATTTCTCATGATCGATTTTTAAACGAGAATAATCGGAAGGAAACGCACCTCGTCTGTAAAAAAGAAAGTGTTATCCAGAAGAAGTATCAAGAAGTTCCAAAATTCTCAAGTAAAATATAAATCAATAATTGTTAGATTTGTGTTTTTGTGTTTTGTATTTTTAAAATAAAACGTGCATTTTTGGCTTTAACTCAAGGTTAAATTTAACTAAATAGTTATCACATATAATTTTCCACAATAAAGGAAACAATAGGATATAAACAGAACATACCATGCTAAAAGTTCTTTATAATTTTATACCAAAACGTAATTTCAATTAAATCATTCTACAAACATATCAATTCTACAAATATTGTGATCTTGTAATATGACTATATATACATATATGTATGTATGCTTTTACTTCTATTATAACATTTTCTACTTGTCTGTTGATTCTTTATATTCATATTGCGTAATTCTTAACAATTCTAATACTAAATTCAAATAATTTATTAGAAATGTACGTATTTAATGGTTAAAATAATAATTTTACTGCGTAATATAATAAAATTTTTCATTTTTCAAATCAAATAAGGGGTAAAAGGCCTTGAAGCTCGAAATTCAAAACAACAACACGAACACAATGTTTATGTTCGTCTTAATCATCGTTTTGTTCGGACAGATTCACTGCATTTCCTACTATTTTCTCAATTGTGTGTCGCGGAAAGTCATTCGGTTGTCGAATTTCGTAACTACAAGTATTACGTCGTATTAGGTTTCCTAATCCATCGGTGGCGTCTCTTCGACACTCTTTTACTTCCATTTATACCTCATTAATAGTATCATTTAGTTAATACGTGTGTGTTTGATCATTTATTGAGAATTAAGCTAAAGAAATCGAGTAAGAATTTGAAGCTTCTCGTGCTGATTTTTCTTCGATCATCGATTTCACTTTTACGATTACCGGTACCTTGTCTCGTACGCTTTTTTAATAGAATTTGAAGTTGATTATGGTTTTACATATTTGCCTTCATTTGACATATTTGTTTTGACTTTTGGTTTCTCTTTGTGCAGATTATTCCTTGGTTGCAAAGATAGCATAGAATGCGTACATGTCACGATCATTAACGAACAATCTGATGACCTTTCACCGAAAGTTGGTAACATTTTATTCATTCTAGGTAACATTTGCTACCTAGAATAAATATATAAATATATAATCATGTAGAATAAATATATAAATGTATAATTATTTGATATACAATTCACAATATGTAATTTTGTAATTATATGGGATACAAGGATGAAAATGGATAAGATTGAATTAATTAATATTTCATTTCAAATATGGAAATCGTCAAATATGGAAATTAATGATATATTTACTTTTATATACTTTTATATATTTTTGCTACAGTATACTTTTTTCAAACGCTGATGCGCAATTAAACGATTCAAAGCAAGATTTCACACATATATGATTTTTTTAAATACTATATTTATGTATTTAGCTATGAAATTTTGATTTATGTAAATATTTTTTAATATTTATAATATACGACATGACATATTACTAATGTGCATACTTTACTTTAATAAAGAAATACTTAATAACAAATATTTCTGCAAATATTGAGAAATACTTTATAATTTCCAACTAATCTTTAATGTATATTCAAATTTACAATCATTTTCTAGAAAAATAGCAAATGAAGGTATTCTTTGTCCTTCCTCTTAACGTATTGTAATCAGCCTTATTTTCAGGAAATTTTTGTGATTGCGTGTAATGCGGTCAATAGAGTCAGTGTTTGTTGCAATGTTTTAATATTTTTCTGAGCAAAATGGTTCTTATTAATCAATTTATTCAAATTATAATTCGCGAAGTTAGAGTCAGTGAGTCCGCTAATTGTTACTTAAACGCGCGTTGATAGTCTTTTATTTTCCTATTTTTTCTTGTTCAATATTAAGGCCTCTCCTGAAGATCAAGATCGTAAGTAGTTTGATTATATTGTATCTCAATTTATTCAATTTTTCAAATTTAACAACAAAGTATAATCAGTTTAATCATTTGTTGCAGACGCTTCACAGCATCAATTTTTTGCATTTTTTGAGAAAAATCCAACGGTAGTTCTAAAGCCAAGAATGTAAAAATTTTTCATTATCTCCAACTTCAGATTTTCGCTTTTAAATATAAATTCTAATGCTTATTGTTTTGTTACAGATTGTCTTCTACAATCTCCACGTCTCCTAATCCTGCAAGAATCTTATGATGCTTCAAAAGCCAAAAATGTAAATCTTTAGCATGTTGTATTCAAATTTTATTCTCTACAACTCTCTTTTTATTGAAGTTGAATGTAAAATTATAATTATAAAATAAAAACACTTCAAATTATTCCAATTTTTATCATTATTAAAATTTAAATTTTCACAAATAACACTGTGTCTTTAGAAAGATGTTTTATGTTTTTTAAGAAATTTTTCACAGTATTCACTTCCACCATGGGATTCTCAGTGGTTCACTTGATGAGAGTCTTTACGATCACTTTCTCTGGTCCAGTGCAGCATCGATAATGTTTCTCGCAGTGAGTCGTATGCATTTTTTTTCCTCCGGTCACTCAATCATGTCATAAGATGAAAGGTCCGACTCAGCACGAGTGACTGGTTACGTAGAATTTTTGATGAGCATAATGACCATGAGTATTTCTTATACCCGTGAATAGTAACATTTTTTCAAGTTTTTTATGTATTAGATCAGGATAGGGCTTCTTGCACATCGCGACTTTAACAGTTAATTTGAATGCGTACATTTATAGTACATTTATAGTAATTAAAATATCAAAATATATTCATTGTAAATGTTACAAAAATATCCGTAGTAATATGAATAAATAAGTATTTATAAATCATTATTATTAAAATGATTTCATTTGAGCATTTCGTAGTAGAAAAGTCAGATACCCTCTGACTTCGTTTCTATGAAAGATGCAGTTATTACTATTAATACGAATAATATATTTTATATTATATTTTATATATTTTGTAATATTTTATATTATATTTTGTATATTTTGTAATATTTTATATTACATTTTGTTATAATAATTACTGATTAATAATTATTATAAAATAACTTCCAGCTTCACTTTCCCTTTTATAATTATAGCATTGAATGATTGAATTTTATAATTATGAATTTCAGTAGATTTTGAAATGTAACAGATAAGAATTTTTTCCGTAAAAGAATGTATAAAATTTTATGTGCAAGAAGATAGTCAGACTTCGCGATAGTCAGATTTTTGAATCAAAGCAACAAGTTTGAACACTGCTTTCGCATTTTCGAAAATATGCTTTAATAAAGAAGTCGCCTGAAATGATTTCTATTAATATTTAATTTGGAGTCATTTGTTTGATTTTGATTTTTCGAGTCAACTTTCAGATTTCATAATAAATTTTTTTAATAAAAATATTTTTTTAATAAATTCAGTTCTTGTTCATTGTCTTTATTCTCTTGCAATTTCAATAATTTCTGAAAGAGTAGAGTCATTAGAGTTTCAAATAAAATGATATGACAGTCCGTTTAGACACAAACTGTATAAATCAATCATTTTTTTAGTTTAGAATTTTTAGGTTTAACCCCTTCGTGCTCATTGTCAGGATTTCATTCACGTGTCCAGGTACTACTTAAGTGGGTGAAAAACATTGGGTACGATGACCATAGTTTGTAATTTCATAAAAAATTTCTCACTGACTTACAATGTGCTAACGTATCGTTCACGACGTATTTTCCGCATATGTGTAGTTAGGATGTGGAACTGTGTCGTTTCTATTTTATTCCATTCATTATAAATTGAAATATTTAAAACATTTATGCACTAATTTTAAACGTGAATTTATTATAATAATACATATACAGTAAATGCAATATAATTAATATAAAAATATTATTAATTATACTTTCAATTATAATAATGATTCCAAGTCAACTTACACATGTAACTTCTACAGAAATTATATATATGTTTATTTAATTATTTCACATATAATTGTAAATATAAACGTGTTTTAATCACGTTTTATGCAATGGTCGCTAGCCATTGTTAGTCAATTTCAGGAAAATGGTACGTAAATTAGAGTGTGAAAGCTGTGTTATTAAGCTCTAGTGTCGGAGGCGTTCCGGGATGTTCTCTCTAGTTTAGGTCGCGCCCGAGTGGTATGTGTAAGAATCGTGGAATAAGTGTGTTGGTGTGCATGTTTTGCCATTTTTTAAATATAGAGCGACTGGTTAGGATAGATAGCTTATTTTCTGGTATGCCTGTGTTTAAATATAAGTAGGTAAGGCCGGGCAGCTTGATACAATCTCTGTTCGCATGTCCCCTTTTCGCGTGTCGAACTTGTTTCAAGAAATTTAATTTGAAAAATCGACAGTGAAATTGGTACAAAATGGACCATTCCACTTGTTTCTGGTTTTATTCTTTGATTTTTCGAATTTAATATCGCGGTCGCGGAAGTGGATAGCTCACGAGTAGGTCCTGAAACGAACGTTGATGTAGGTATTGCTCGAGCACGCACGTGCGAATGGATAACGATCACTATGATCGATGGTCGTCCATGTGCAACTGAATCAGCTTCCGCGATTTATTTTTATGCCTTTATAAGTTATTTTTTGGTTTGTGATTAGAAGACTCGAGCTACATGTAAGTTTCAGCGAACATTACGCTCGAAGAAAGAAAAGACTAGAAGCCGAAGTGACCTGGCAAACTGTCACGAAGAGGATTGCAGTAAATTGCTTCTTATCCTTTGGATATCATTTAAATGATTTCAGAGCATAGGAAGTCATTCTCGTTACTACTTTGTCACTATGCTCTTTTAGTATTTGTAGTTGTATTTTTTTTTCTTCATCATCGTTCGTCATCGTTCTGGGCAAATCGCGGTTTTTATTGTTAGTGTTGCGAGAAATCTATTATGGTTTATATTAGAATTGCAAAGAAATGATAATCGTGTTTGCTTTAGAGTTACAAGTTATGGTACTGCGATTGTCCTTTGCAATTTTGAGTGTGAATTAGAGTTTTTAATTAATTTTAGAATATTTGAATATTAGTTATCGTTCATATAGTAGCTTTTGTATTCTCGATAATAATTTTCATTGAATATATATAGTTTTAGAATTAGTATTGCGACATTATTTCATTACGATTTCCAATTACTTTAGCTCTAGTGTTGCGATATTGTTCAATCGCGGTTTTCAATTACATTTCTTCTTAGTATTGCGATAACGAGTGATCGCGTTTCTTTTCTGAAGTAGCGTTGCGTTTAATGCGAAATGCTCAAGCTGTACAAAGGTGGTCATTCATCAGCAACCACCAGCATGATTGCACTGGTCGCGTCGCAATTAGTGTTGCGTATTGCTATATGTTGATGCATAGATTATTAGCGTTGAGTACTTACTTTCGGAAGTTTTAAACATGACGAAGCACTCGTCGCGTTTGATTTTAAAAATTTTCTATTTCACAATTAATGTTAATAAAATGTCGAGGAGCAAGATACGGTTTATTACTCGGATTTATGTCGAATGTAAATTTGGCGATAGTCCTTTTGGTTATTGTATTGAGTATGAAATGTTCTTTTAGCAGCTCTTCTGGTTATTATATCGTTATTTCTTTTTCAGTGGCCCTTCTGGCTATTGTTTTGGATTTTACAGATGATTTTACAGATATTAACTATCTTATGATTAACTAAAACTAGACGCACGCAACTTAAAGTGAAATCGCACGCATCTCACGCATTTCGGGCGCACAGTGGCAAAGTGCGCTAAAATCCAAAAGTTAAAAAAAATTTTTTTCTAACTTCAAAGATCTATGTATTGTATTTTATTTATGAATAATCAAAGCATGATTTTTCATTAGTATCAAGTATTATTGATACGCAATTCTCTTAGAAATATGACATTTTAAAGTCGTAACTTTGTCATATGTCATGTTCATAAGACTGCAATGCGAAATTTTTAAAGCAGCATTGAAAATAATTTTTTTTTATTTAATACCACTTTTTACATTCAATCATAATTTGTTTTTTTATTGTTGATTGTGATTTATAAATTAATATCTATTTTCATTTCAATACTTCATTTCACTTTTTATAGTTTTACAGTAGAAAATATCTCCTTTTCAGGAAATAATTACGTACCAAACGAGATCAAGTAATATTTTTTCTTTAAATAAATTTTGAAGGTTTTTGAAAAAGGCCCTATTGTATTTTTTTGCAACAATTTGCAATATTATGAGTTATTGTTATTTCTTTTTCGTCTGTATCGCTTACAGTGTGATACAGATTTATGACACAAAATTCGAATATCTTGTATGTCGGATAAATATGCCTAATTCTGCATCTAAATTATTTTGCTAGTTTGATGAAGTCGTAATAGTACATGTATATAAGATTAAAAATACAAAACAAGCAAAACACATTTACGATCATTCAGCAACAACAACGAACATTTAAAGTCTGCTGACTGTCAAAATCTTGGTCAATTTTAGGTATGATATTGCAAAATTTTTATCTGTACATATTTGAAGCATTCTGTAGAATGCATAAAAGAAATATCACAATTAATTTTGCATAATTTCCAAAATTGACAAAGAAAATTAATAAATGAGCAGAAATATACGAGCGAAAAGTATTCGTATGACAAATAAATAATAAGTTTTAAGGAATGAGAGAAAAATAAATTAAATTAAGTTTGCATATTAAATATGTATATGAATTATCTTAATTAACACTTTGTAGAATTTTCTTTTGATTAGGCATTGAATTTATTAAAATAGCTATTAAGCGGGGAAATATCTTCTTTTGTTCCTTTAAAAGAGAATTTTTTTTAAATCACTTTTTTTGAAGAAATTTGATGCTTTCTAATTTTATGTTCCATAACATTAATATCTGGCAATTGCAGAAACGTTTTTAAATGTTCTGGTGTACTGTGTAGGATTCACATTCTCGTATTTAAATCATTATTGTGCACAAAAATAAAATCATTTTCAACACTAGAAAGAAAATTAGACCAAAAGAAGATTAGAATTAAAATCCCAATATAAACCCGGTGGTTCATTATTTCATCAATGAACTGTAATGTGCCAACAACATGTGCCGTCATACAAACAATTATAGAAACACCACCGTGTTTTACAGTGGGTAATAAGCTTTTGGATTCTTCACTTTTATTTCTACACAGTGCAATGTTTATCCGGCCTACAAATTAAATTTACTTTTGTCCGTGAGAATTACTCTATTACATCAGTGTGTTTATATTGTTCTTTTGCAAATTCCAATCTTTTCGTTTTGTTCGTTTTATGTAATAACCTGGTTTCTTAAGTTAAAAAATAATATTTAAATTTCAAACCCAAATAGCAATTAAAAGTTTGAAATTATATATGATCTGTAATCGGAAAATTATCTCAAAAAAGGTCGTATGTATCGAAATCATGTTACAAGAAATTCAAAGTTGAAACCTTTTTTTATTTATAGAATCGCGACATGGATACAAAGCCTCACGAAATTGGTACTGTATAATCTTCATTTATAATATAAAATGAGAGACATTGATAAAAACAACTGTTTTAAACGTAGTAAAAAATAACGGACATTCTTTTTCTGAATATTAGACGTTCGTTTCCTTATCACATTATACGTCGAAAATATATGTATATATATATATATATATATATATATATATATATATATATATATATATAATGTATATATATATATATATATATATATACACATTATTTCATTAAATGCACTTCTAGGTAGATATAAAGCAATAAAATCAAACATAAGTTTGTTTAATGTTTATATTTATTAAATATTAATTAAGTATTTATATTTGTAGGAAGCAAATACGAAAAGATTGAGATTTGTAACTTAAACTAATATCAAATTACACATTAATGAAATATTTGCAAAATCATTTTTTGTGTATTAGGATTTAATTTTTAATATATTTTTTTATAATTTCACATTACCAATCTTTATGTAAAAACGACATCGCGACTCCTGGTTTATTTTGACGTAATTTAATAATTGTACGGACAAATTCCAATAAGAATTCTGTGTACGACATCCAGAAATTATCGGGAACCTGAGAATAGACATAGGGTCAGAACAAGTTCGCGAGTATTATCTACATAGATTTCAGGGTGTACCGAAATTCATGAAAAGATGCACAATTCACAATTTAACTGTGTAACTGTTTCGTTCAGTTTTGATGTTCTATCAAGTATAATGAAAAAATTTCTTTGGATTGTACGAAAAATTCACTTCGTTGTGATTTGGTAGAAAATACATTAAAATAACTCTATTTAAATATGCTCCGGAAATTCTTTATTGATATAAATCTATTAATCATAAATTAACAATCTTTTCGTTGTACACAATCATTGTTTTGATCTATTAATCATAAATTAACAATTTTCTGGTTGTACACAATCATTGTCTGGATTTCTGAGATAACCACTGCTACACCGACAACCGGCGGTAGTTCCGTTAGTGCATGCCTGGAAACATTTATATTAGTATCGTTATAATACAAATATATTAGCTAATTCATAGTAGATTGCGTTTTTAAGTATATCGGGGACATTTTTTGACCACTTATGAAAATATTCTTTTCTTCTCTTTTTTTTTATATTTTTCTTAATAAAATTGTGTTCCATTCGTGCCCTAAAATTTGTCACTTTCGTATAGATGTAAGCAAGAACTTTACATTCCGAAATAAATTCATATTTACATTTTATATTTCAGAATACATTTATAATATCTTAAGCTCGTATGATATAGAATGGACAAGAAAACATTTTCATGTACTAAACATGAAGCACATACAATATTATCAAATAACTCTTTTAGTGTTTTTTCGCATCTATTTTTGTCTTTCAGTATTATCCTGTCTATAGTATTATGTCTTTTAGTGTCTTTCTACATTCCTTTTTTTCAATACTCAAGAATGCTGTCTGTTACGATATGTACTATCAAACATAAATATTTTGACAGCTTTAAATCGTTTTAAGTATATATATATACATATACACACATATGTATATATACATAATCCAATTCAAACGATATAAGTATTAAGTCAAGTGTATGAATAATAAATCGAATTCAATTAAAAAGAAAATAAAATTATTGTATTATAGTAAACATTTCAAACAATATACTTAGATTACTAGCGAGTATTGTTAGCAGAAATAATTTTTTTATGATTTATTACATTTGAATTTTATGTAGTTTGTACCAATTTTGCCTCTTCACTTAAATGTTTGAGAGTAACAACTCTCGAACTTATTGACACTAGAAAGAACTTTCAAATGGACACGCATCTTAATGCTAAGTAAATGAAAACAATTCGAAGTAATTTCGAATACTTACTATTGGCGGGCAAGTTATTGGATTTGGATCACAGGTTGGTTCACATAATTGCCCACAAATGTTCCATTCTTCATTTATTGGACATATTGGTGTGAACGAACCTAATTTAACACGAACATTTATGAAAATCACAAACTAGAAATTGCACTACGAAGGAGAATATTCTAAGGCTAATAGATATTTTTCATAACAACATGTACATACACATACATGTATGACCTAAGTAAATCTAATATATATACGTATATACAAGGTAAATATTACTTCAAATATCACACAACTTCACAACCGAAATGAAGATGATTCTACATGAAAAAATAAGTCAGAAATAAAGAATAAACCGAAATGAAGATGATTCTACATGAAAAAATAAGTCGATAAAGAATAAAATTTTTTCTTTGCTTCCGAGAAAATCGACTTTGAATATTCTCCGAGTATGCGTGCACTAAACGACGGCGTATACAGATGTCGGTACAAGCGAAGAGCTAATTCTACAACATACGAGAAAATAAGTCGAGAAACATTTCTAAACACATTCTAAGTAAACAGATATTAATAACTAATCAACATTACGAATGATATT